AATATAGTAAGTATATTAAATATATATTTATATAAAATATATATTTATATGCTATATATTTATAATTTATGATTATAAATGCTAAATATTTATAAGATACAGAAGACACAAATATATAAATAATATGTGAACATACAAATATTCATAGTATACAAGTATAATATATAAATAAATATATATTTATAAATAATATATAAATAAATATAAAAATTTATATTTATATATAAAATATAAATAAATATAAATAAATATAAATAATACTATATAAATTTATTTGATATATTTATATAGTAAATATATATTTAAAAAGTACATATATATAAAAATATATATTAAAATGCATAAATAAAATACATGCTTTTTTTGCATCTTGTCCCATGTCAATGGCTTGTCCCACAGGACAACTGTCAGCTGGGTAGAGAGTAAAAAAACGTGGAGAGGGAGTGGCAGGTGCTTCCAGGAGCACCTCTGCAGCTCGGCCCTGGGGTGAGGGTTGATCCCACCAGAAATGCCCAGCGGTGCAGGGGATGCTCCTCTTTTCCCACCTTTCCCTGAGCAGGTGCCCGTGTGTCTGTGTTCCTGCAGGGTTTCCGGGTTGTCCCAGCTGAGGAGTGCTGGATGAAGTCCCTGGAGCCGCTGATGGGGGAGGTGAGGGCACAGATGGGGGACAAGCCCACGTACATCAGCTTCGACATCGATGGATTGGACCCCGCGTACGCCCCGGGCACCGGCACCCCGGAGATAGCTGGGCTCACACCTGCACAGGTGAGGGGACTCCAGGGAATGCAGCTGCATTTCCCACTGGGAAAGGCATGGTTTTGCTCCCAGGCCATGCCACCAGCACAGCAAAGAGAAGACTTAGGAAGGCCTGGGAGCATTTCCTTATGTTGATGAGGAAGGGAAGTGTGGAACTGATGAGATTTGGCCTGTAGAGGCTGGGTTTCCTTATATAAAAATGGGGAAAGCAGAGCCCTGACTGGTCCACCAGGTCAGATGTTTCTTGATCCCAAATCCATTTTTTTCCTAGGCTTTGGAGATTATTTGTGGCTGCAAAGGCCTGAACATAGTGGGGTGTGACCTTGTGGAAGTCGCACCAATGTACGACGTCTCTGGTGAGTCTAAAGATCTCGAGAGTAAAACATGGCAGAGGCAGCCACGAGTGAAAGCCATTGGATATTCATGGATTTTTTTCCCCTTGTTTTGTCTTTTTCTAGGTAACACAGCCCTCCTGGGTGCAAACCTACTGTTTGAGATGCTGTGTGTTCTCCCAGGAGTGAAGACACTGTAAGAGTAGTTCCTGCCTGCTCCAGGACCACGCTGCTCCATGTCCCCAGCCAGGCTTTCCATGTCCCTTTCCCCTCATCCAGCTGCAGCCAACGTGGGGCTTTGCAGCACAGAATAAATGCCATTTTCCACGAGTAAAGGTAATTTTAAGCTGAGAAGCTGTAGGGAGCAGATGGGTTTGAACACCCCATTTAACTGGGGTCTGGAGCTTTGAAATTGGTCTGGTAAAGGGACAGATGAGGCTAATAGTGTTTGGCCTCTGGAATTACTCAGCCAGCTTACAGGGCTCCTGGCAAAACTCACTGGTAAAGACTTTCTTCCATTAGGATGTGGCAGCAAGACAATGACTATTGTCTTGGGGGAGGGAGGGCAGCAAAGGGCATCTGGGGATCCTGCTGAGCCTAGGGGGATGTTTGACTGAAGTTCCTGCTGGTGGAATCACCAGGAGTTTCCTATGGCAGGAGTGGTTTAATCACTCCTGGAATTTCTGAGCTGATGTGGAGGTGAGGTTAGTTTGTACACGGAAACACAAAGCCACTTCATCACACATTAAAATAAGTTTATTTTGGTTGCGAACCTGTAATTGTCTTAAAACAAAATGACATAAGTGCCTGTTCACAAATACAAAACCAAAACCAAACCAAAACAAAAAAACCAAAACAAAAACAAACAAACAAACAAAATAAAAAGACAAGTTTGCCAAATAAGTTAATTCCCCCCCTCCCAGTATCAAAAGTGCAAAATAGGTACCTAGTTTTCAGTCCTACTTGTCAAGCTGCGCTCATGTCCTGGCTCCTGGCTGCTGTGGGTGAAGGGCAGAGACAGGGGCAGGGAGGAGTTTGGGAACAACCTCCACTCCAGGGCCTGTGTCCCTTCTTTCTCCTCAGCTCTGAGCGCTGTGCCATCGCTGGGATCTCACTAGGACAGTGCACTAGGACCGAATTTCCTCAGTCTTTGGATTATGAACCACCACGCATGGAACAGAATCACAAGGGTTAGAAAATGACGGGGGGTGAGGGCTCAGGGCTGCTGGGAGAGCAGGGGCAGATCCCGGGTGTCATAGTTTGAGATTGGTCCCCCCTGAGAGTCAGGGGCTCAGGGGTGATTGGGTGCCAGGGCAGTGTTCCCTGGAGAGCCAGTCACCACTCATGTTGTTTGCTTCTGCTGAAAACTCATATATACACAGCACTGGAAGCTGCTGGCAGTTGTTCTGTTGGTGTCTGTTCTGCGTGTAGGTGGAGAAGGCCGGGGGTGGCTGGGCTCCTTCTTCCCCCTCTCCGGGGGGAGAGGGAAGCCCTGCGGCCCCCCAGCTCTGCGGCCCCCCAGCTCTGCCTAGGCCAGAGTTAAGAGGCAGCATTTGGAGTGTGTGCTGTGAAGGAAGAGATTCACAGCACCTGAGGTAAGAGGGAGGAGGCCAGGCCCTCTTCCCCCCCCTGCAGCTGCGGGACACTTGGGACAGTGTATAACTGGACTGAGCTGCCTGTGGCCAAGGCTAGGGGGCTTTTTTTCCCCCCACACTGCATTGAGGCTGGTAGGGGGTGGATTTTAAGGCTCAGCATTAAAGCAGAGCCAAGTGGACGGACTGCTGACGAAACAGCTCGGAGCCTGGAAACTGGATTTTGGATTTCTAATGTGGCTCAAACTGCCACACCGGGATAAGCAGCTCTGACCCTGCTCTCCAAGACAGCAAATACCTGGAGCGCCACACTGGCACTAAAACCTACTAAACCAGGGGTTAGGGCAGCTTGGCATTCGCTTCAACCCAGGAAAAAGGGTTTCCATAAAACAGAAACCAGGGGCTGTGCTCCCATCCAGCCAAACCCGGCAAGGGTGGACTGCTGCAAGCGCTCCTTCAACTCGACTCTGGCTGAAAGGGGAGGTTACCTGTGCTAAAAAGAAAATAAAAAAGGACTCTGGCAGAATTTGAAGGCTGTAAAGCCTTCTCTCCTTCCTCGGGGCAGGGCTGAATTCCCTTGCTGTAGCACAACTAGGCACTTTTTTTTCATGGATTGAGGCTTTTCTACTGGTTTCTGACCAGATGAAGAGACAGCAGAGACCCAGAGAGTATTCTTTTGCTTTTGCAAATGTTGAAGAAGTTATGTGGAGCCTTCTGGTGGGCTAAAACCTATTCCAGCCACATCCTGCATGGGAAAAGCACAGGAGTAGACAGCAATCGCTCCAGCCAAGTGAAAATGAAGTCTAGAAGCACCAGGCTGGTGTTTTGTTCCCCCTCTGCTCTCCTTCAGCAGTTTTTGTGCACCTCAGAGTTCCTGGGCAGGGAGAAGACTCTGCCTTCTTTCCTTCCTTCCCTCTACTTTCTGGGGCACAGAGTCTGCTGGGCTGGAATTAATTAACCTCGCATAGGGTTGGTTGGTAGCCTTTATCTGAAGTACATTTTACAGGGGTCTGAGGTACCTGCAGGGTTCAGAGCACACCAGTCTGCTCCCAGGATGGGAGCAATGCAGTGAGGCAAGGCTTTGGGAGCAACTAGGGCATGTAGGCAGTGCAATGACGAGCATTCCCATCTTCCTATGGGATCAGCAGCTGGCTCAGAGGTCAGCACTTATTCCTACTGACTGGCTGCTCTGCTAAGATGGTCACTAAGGTGGCGAGGGCTGAGTTTGGAATTAACACCATGTGCTCTGAGGGCTCTGTGTCAGGTTCAGAGCCCTGTGGCAAAGGCCACCTGCTCCCATCCCTGCACTTTGGCAGTGCTGGAGCCTGACGGTGACGGGATCCATGGAAGGAGACCTGGGTGACAGCAGCGAAAAGGAAGCACAAGCCTCACAGGATTTCAGTCCTGGCCACAAAGAGAAGCCCTGCTGCCTCCCTTGATTGCTAGAAGGTTAAGCAGCCATGAGGCTGCTGCTTACCCTCCCTCCACCTTACCCAGGACCACCCTTTCCCAGCAGTGTTGGAAGTGGCTGTTGGGGCACTGCTACAGCAAAGCACCATCCAAACCCTGTTCTAGCCTCACACGGACTTACAACTTCCAAAAGACAAAAAAAAAAAAAAAATCCAAGCAAACAAACACAAAGGCAAGGCAGCAGCCTGAGTGTGGAAAAACAGAGGTTTGGGGCAAGAAGGAAATGGGCAAGAGGTGGAAACGGGCAAGAAGCTGAAACCCAACATCTCAACCCCACACCTAAACCAAAAGGAGCTTCACACACACGCGACGGTCTGATGATACAGCACTTCTGGGGCAACATTTCAAGAATACAATCGTTGAAGGATGAGGTTCCTCGATACAAAGGAAGGTTGGTTTGTACTACAGTTGGAAGGGTGTTTGCAAGGAGCCCAGGTG